TTTTTAAAAAGTAGTATTTTTGTAAAAATTGTAAAAAAATGGCATTTTTTGAAATTTCTCTTATAATTTTAGCACCTATTAAGTACCCAAAATTGAACTATCTACCTAATTAGTTTTACAACCATAAACAATCTTGAGTTTTCTGGTTGACTTTCTTTAATCATGTATTAGGAGTTAGGATCGAGTCCCTTTCTACTAATGACTAAATCATGTCATTTTTTTTCTCTCTGTGTGATGTAATTCTATAAAGTATTCATGTTTTTTTTTATTATTAACATCATGATTTATTTATAAAAAACTGTTGTTCGGATCTACACCTTACATTAGATGCATCTAATGGCTAAATTTACTCACAGGTATTGATTTTATTTTGATAAAAATGTGTAAGCATACAAAAACAAGAACTGAGATTTGAGTACGTACAAGACAAGAACTCGAGACCATTACAATGATAATGACATTTGCGATGTCCAATTTCCTACAAAAAATATCAAATTTAAAAAATATTCTATGATCGATGTCGAATCATGCTCATTTTCGTTTTTACTCCTTTTTCTTCAATTTCTGTAACCTTCGTTATGATTTTTTCTATTTATATACTCTTCTGTTTTAAAATATAAGTTGTTTTGGTTAAAAATACGAATATTAAGAAACTAATTTTTTTCTAAAAAGTATTATCTTATATATTATAAAAATAATTTAACCAATAAAAAAAACAACTACAAAATACTATTGGTCACAAAATAGTCAATAAAGTTAAAAAATATCTAGGATTATCAAAACAACTTATATTTTGAAACATAAATAAATCTCCAAAACAACTTATATTTTGAAACGTAAGGAGTATCATTTAATCTTTCTCTTATAAATGGTTCGATGTTTTAATTTTTACACATGTCAAATAATTATTTGAAAATAAAAACCTATTCCTTATTTAAATAACAATATATCCTTATTTATAATCACATTTTCATTTTTTGCAAAAAATATATTGTAAAACAATAAATAATTTGAATTTATAATTTTTTTTTTTGAAACTAGAGTTTGAATTTATAATCTTAGAAACAGCATAATTCAAGTTACAACATAGAGAACATACTAAACCCAAACAAAAAAAATGATTAAAAAGTGCATTTTCTTTTTCTATTTTACCAACCATCATTCCTAATGGCCTCTAATTAGCAAAACTAAAACTAATTTACCATTACGCTATAAATATATGTCAGTGTTATAAACCAAAACCGAAATTAATTCGTATTGCAAAATCGGAAACAAATCCCAAATATACACACAACGAAAAAAAAAACACTCTATTTCTGGAAAAAACCCTA